CTTCAGGAGAATCCTGAACCAACCTGTGACCTATCCAGAGAGATTCATATCACAGAGATAAGAGGAGAAAAAAGGACAAAAGAGGAGAAAACGAGCATCTGACCTCCAGAGAACTCAGGAATTTCCAAAAGGGCAGAGGAATCTTTACATGTATTAAAAAGACACATGAGCCCAGTTCCATGCTAGATGCTTTAATACACAATCTAAAGCATCCTCATACCAGGTCAGCAATAATCTCCATTTTCCTACTGAGGAAACAAGCTCAAAGTTCACTCAGTTGTCCAACATGCATTGAGTGAGCAAAAACGAATGTGGCCCCTACCCTCCTGGAGCATATAGTCTAGCCGGCGAGGGAATTAATCAAAGAATCCTACAAAAACAGCACAATGGAGAGGTTTATGGTGCTATGAGATAGATAAAAGGGAAAAGTGAGTAGTTCACAATATCGAGAGGTCTCCCTGAGGAGGAGATGACTAAGTTCAGGTATGGTGGGGGGGGTTAACTAAGTCAAAATGAAGAAGGGTACAGGGACAAATATGCCAAATAGAAGAAACATCTGGGTGCAAAGGCACCGTGGTGGAGTGATGCAGTCAAGAAGCCAAGCAGAGGCCAGAGTGCACATCAGATAGGGACCAAGAAATAGGGCTGGAAAGGTAGGCAGAGGGCAGACCACAGAGCACCTGCAGGATCACCAGGAATTACAGTGTTATCATAAGAGCAACGGGAAGGTGACAGAAGGGGTTTGAAAAGACCTTCCAATTAAAATACAGAGAACAGACTGGAGGGGAGAGGGTGTGAATTTGGGAAGACCAGGACACTAGGCAGAGGCCACAGCAGGATTCAGGTGGGAAATGACAGGGGCCTGAACGATGGTGGTGATAATGGAGACAGGAGGAGGTGCAGCTGCCCACAGCCACACCATCAGTAGGCTGACAAAGCTGAGATTGGCACTTTGGTTTGTCTGACTGCAAAGCCCATGCTTCTCTCTACCTTGCCATTTATTTATTTATTCAGAGGTTAGTTACTGATCATCTGCTATGCGCCAGGCCTGCGTCAGTGCTGGGGATATAGCCATGATCAAACCAGACACTCCTCTCATGCAGTTCACACTCTTAGGCATTAAACAAATAAAAATGCAAACAGTGAAGGATAAATTGTAACAGGTAAAATTACCTAAACTGCATGTGAGCGACAGACTTGAGGAAACTTCACCCCTCATAGTTTCATACTGCATTCCTGGCCCATTCATGAGGCTGCCAGGCAGAAGTTAGTGTATCTCAAACTCAGCACTGATCCTTGAGACTTCTGTTGAAACAGAAGTCTTTCGAAAAGCAACTACTAACTCCTTAATTTACTTACGTATGTATCCCAACCTTGGGAAACTTCACTTATGTACATTTCACAATAGTCAGGATCTTTCATCCAGATTCATTCATTTGAACCTCATAGCACTATTATGTAGAAGGAAGGTAGGTTTTAATAGCCTACTTGAGAGATGAGGAAACCAAGGCCTAGACAGAGGAAGTGACTTCACCAACATCATCAAACTAGAAAGTCACCCAGATCTGCCACCCAATTCTCATCACAAGGCCAGGAAATCATGAATCTCAGCTGAGACAGCTTCAGGTCACTGAGCCTGCGTGAAATCACCCAGGAGACCCACAAAGTTCCTAAGAACAATTATCAGGAACAGAAAGCAGCTTGGGAAAGGTTTCTAGAATGCAGTGCCACCAGCCTGAGACACAGGTACCCTTGCCAACTCTCCCAGATTAGAACAAGTTCTCCTGGATGCTTTCCAAGTGCCTCTGACTAACAGGGGAAAGTATTTTTCCATCGCAAACACTGCAGGCAGACACCAGACTCCTGAGAAGGGAGGGCAGAGAACACAACCCAAATTCCCATCTACACAATCTATAGAGTTATTCTGACACCGTGTGAACTGCCCCAGATGAGCACCTATCACTGGGACCTCAGTCATGGGCAGCGTTTTTCAATTTTGACACTACTGACATCAGGGGCTAGATAAGTCTTTGTTTTATGGGGCTGCCCCTGCACTGTAGGATGTTTAGCAGAATCCCTGGCCTCGACCCACTAGATGCCAGAAGAACCTGCGCATGCATTCTTTTTTTAATCAATATCACACAACTAATGCCTCCCAGAGTAAGACGGAGAGCAGCCTCTGTGCTGATGTGGCCTGCAAGCACATCCCAGTCACCAGTGGAGCTTTATGGAAACAGCTTAACTCCTTGTTCCACTAATGAGCTGCTTCTGACCCTGTTAGGAAATCGTGTTCCCATTAATATGAGCAACAGAGTCTCATTAAACAGAAGCCCTGGGTGATTCTTCTCAATGACACTGGGCCAAGGCAAGGGCTTCCATTGCTGCTAGCAGGAATACAAAATTGCTGAATCAAATAACAGGGGACTCCCATTTACCCAAAATTCAGTACAACCACCAGGACACTCAAACATCCCAGCTTTTAACCATTCTGGACTTAGGAGAAAGGGAAACGTGACAATGTACATAAACAAGCGATCTGAATTAACAAGTTAATTAAATAGTTGAGATGTTACCAAAACTCATGCTCTCAAGTGGAGGTGGAGACCTGAAGCTGAGCTCAAGAGCAGCTGGGGTGACTCAGACAGTGTCAGGGATGTGGGTTCCAACCTCCCACCCCAGAAATGGGTTGCTGGCCCAGAAGTAGGAATCAGCATCAGTTACAACACTTCAAAGCTAAAGTCAAAGGAGCAACATCTCCATTTCTTTCACTCGTCAACTACCTAACTAGCTAAAGAGTTTACTGACAGACTCAACCTAACTCACTACCATTTAGCAGTACCTGTGGTTTATTACCCTGCAAGTCTTTGAAGACACCCAATGACTCAGACCACATGCTACCTGCACTTTGTATTGAGCTCTATTGTTGAACACCTCATAGTGGAATGTACTAAAATATGATTACAGGTCTAAACTCACTACTGGACAGTGGACAAGGTTCACAGCTAGTACAAGGCATGGTGCATAAGCAGACCCTTAAATCTGTAAGATGGATGGATGGACAGATGAATAAATGGAAAGATGAATGGGTGTATAGTAAAGTTCTCCACCTCTGTGTTTTTAGACTGAAGCCCATCCACACATTCTAGTGGGAAGGGATGGCCATGTCTTTTCCCCTTTGTCTCTCAAAGGCTTAGCACATTGCTCAATAGGTTCCCAATGAACATGAACTGATTTGATTTGAGTCCTGGATCCAAACAGACAAACTGAGGTCTTCCATTCATGAACCAGTGAATCCCAGGAAAGAGGTTAGAAATCCTATATAACTGCCCTGGCTCGCGTGCAGCTGAGTATGCTTACTCTCTTTTCATTAAAAACAGTTCGATGTAAGAAATGAATTGACTTTCTGATAGGCAGGAGATACAGAAGTGAGCCAGACTAATATGGTAGTTTCCCTCCCAGAGTTTACTGTCTGAAGGAAAAGGCAGTTATCAACAATTACACAAATAAATAGCTACAACGCTCAGGAAGTTTCTTTAAGAAAAGTTTCTGTAAATGGGCCCAGTCTTTAAACAGTCTGAACCACTTTGAGGAAAGTCATGATTTTCCTCCAAATGAATGATACATTTTCCTTAGAATATCCCCTGAAGTAGTGAATGGAAAGTTTATTATACACCTTTGTTCTTCAGGTCTCTTTTCCAAAATGTTCATAAAACCTTTTAAAAGACCAATTTAAAAGCATCAACAATAGAGCTAAATACAGCAATTTAAAAGATAAAAGATACAAATGCTCATAAGTCTATGTTTGCATGCATAAATATATAGAATGTATGACTTACCAATGATACCTGAAGCTGACCTGAAAACGTGCAAAATTCAGAAACTTCTGAAATAAGTTACCAGGAATCGGCACCTATAGCACTGTGGTTGGTTATGGCACCAGCCACATGCACCGAGGCTGCCAGGTTCGGACCTGGTCTAGGCCAGCTAAACGACGACAACTGCAACAACAAAAAAAAATGGCCAGGCGTTTTGGCAGGCGCCTGCAGTCCCAGCTATTTGGGAGGCTAAGGCAAAAGAATCACTTAAGCCCAAGAATTTGAGGTTGCTGTGAGCTACGATGCCACAGCACTCTACAAAGGGCAACATAATGAGACTCATATTTGGGAGTCTAGAGATCTGTGTATAGCTAGAAATCAAACAAGACTAGGAAAGGGAACTCCTGAGCACCCCTGAAGTTCAGATGGCCTTGGCATGATAGTAGATACTAAGAACTTCAACTGTTTGTCTGGAAAACGGTGTGGAAACAGCAGGAGCTCGCAGATGGCCGGGATGACGAGAGGCCACAAAAAAACAAATCCAAAAATAAAGCCAGAAATATGAAGGCCAGGAAAGGAAAACTGTGCTAAGTGAAAGATGAGAATCAGATGAAGCCTCCAGAACAGATGAAGATGCCAAAATGATACGGTAACATTTGAGGGAATACGTGGATACGAGATGTCTGAGTCAATGCATATAGTTTATTACAAGTAATAAAAGTTTAAATCAGAATACCATGCCAACTAGGATTCAAAATAATGCCCCTTCTTTAATCTTGAGACATTTAACAACATCTTTTGATGCTTTTATAATAATTCAGACTTGGGTAGAAAGAAATGCGAATACAGTCATCTCTTCAGCTGTGACAAGGTGTGGACCTCTCAACAACCTGGAAACGTCTCTGGGCAATGCTTGTTACAATGGATTCCTTCTCAAAACCTCATGGACTCATAGGACCAGAAAGAGTTAACCTAACTCCGGCTTGCCTCTTTGGGTGCAAACCTATGATCCAGAGAAGAAAAGCCACATACCCGGCTGATGGCAGAACTACACCCCAGGTCTTCCCCCTTGTGGTCCTTAAAGCTTTCATCAATAACTATCCTTAACCCCAAGCATTCGTGGCTGTTTAGACAGCTGTCCCCCAGCTGCTCGTACCAACCATAAATTCTCTGCTACTCTCTCACCTGTCTGAGCAACGAGGTGTGTCCACCCACTCCAGACGGCAGTGACCTTTTCATTCTGAAAACAATGTGCTTCTATTTTCTGGGGCACAGGAAGGAAAGCAGCCTGGGTAGCCAGTTGCCCGTGCTTGTTGCTTCCCCAGACATACACCTCTCCCGCATCTTAAACAAATGGAACAAAACACATGGAGGAACATCAGTCTAAATGATGGCAGATAACACAAGTCTGAAAAAGAGACTGTTTTATACTTACGCTACAATGTTGAGTAAAGCCAAACTAGATACAAAATTCATGTATAGCATAATAAAATACTATAACATTTTTCTGAATTTAATACATAAGAAATAAGGCCAAATGTTCTTAGTGGCTTAAGGAATAAGAATGTGTGAGTTTATTTCTTCATTTATTCATTCAACAAATTTCTATGATGTTATGTGACTTGTTTCTCCCTTTTCTACTTTTTTTTTCTTTTTGAGACACAGTCTCACTCTGTCACCCTGGGTAGACTGCCAGAGAGTCACAGCTGACAGCAACCTCAAACTCCTGGGCTCAAGCAATCCTTGTATTTCAGCCTCCCAACTAGATGGGACTACAGGCTTTTCTAAATTTTTAAAATATATGCTTGCATTACTTTTTTTTAGGAAGAAAATGCTTTAATTTTAAAATAACAGGTTAAATAATACTTTATATCCTAGTATTTTATATTATGGGTTTAGAAGGTAAACTTTTTAAACATAAGATTACTTCACTGCAACAGCAAATACAACACTACAAAATTTGTGTATCACTTCAGCTTCTTTCAACCTCATAATAATCCTGTGAAGTAAGCAGGAATGTGACTGACATTGTGATTTCATAGAAAGACAGCAAATTCAGAGTCAAGTGACTGTGGCTTCTATTCCTGGATCTGCTAACTAGCTATTGACCTTGGACAAATCACTTCCTCTCCAACACTTAGTTTCACCAGCTACAAACTGGAAGGGAAGGCAGTTGGTCTAGAAGGGCAGACAACATGACTGATGACATTGGTAACCAGAGGGATGGTGGGCAACCACGGCAAGCCAAAGAGCACTCACATTTGGAATGTTTTTGAAATGAAAGCCAAGCAAAATGAGGCCATGGGCTAGACTTTACCCTCTGGCTTGTCAGTCTGTGACTCCTCAGAGGAGCTCCAAAAGCTTTCTGACCCTACCATCCTAAGGACCTACAACTGTACTGTCCCATTCAATAGCCACTAGCCACAACTGGCTATTGAACACCTGAAATGCAGCTGGTCCAAAGTGATACGTAAGTGAAAAACACACAATAGACTGCAAAGACAGTTTAAAAAAGCAAGGGTAGCTCATTAATAATTTTCATATTGATTAAATGTTGACATAATACTTTGGATATACTGGGTTAAGCAAAATAGATTATTAAAATTAATTTCACCTGTTTCTTTTTTTTTACTTTTTGGAAAGTGCTCACGTATCTTTCTACTAGACAGCACTGTTCTAGAAAATAAATTAATCAAGGCTGGAAAATGTTAAGTGACTTTTCAAGATCGCACGGCTAGTAAGAGTCAAGTGGGGACTAGAAGCCAGGTCTTTCGCTTTCACGGATTTTGTGACTTCCCAGGAGAGCTTTGTAGTATCACTTGCTCTAGGACAGCCAAATACATTCCCCAAAACTGATTAAAAGGCAAATAGTATCATCAAAGAGCATCAAACCAAGGTCAGGAGTTTTCAGATCAAGTCCCATCTGCTACTCGACCACTGCTTGCCATTGGGCACATCACCTCACATTCTGGGCCTCTGTTTCTTCAACTCTAAAACTAGGGAGTGTAAAGCAGAAGCCTTGTTGTCACCCAGGTGACACTGCAACACTGACACCCTGCAGTTCTATGAAGTGAATCTGATTTTGCACCCAGAGAGAGGACAACCTCCCTGGACTTCATCAGCGTGTGCAAAGTATAAGAATCCCTAACAAGAGGGCAAAGACTGCCACTTATCAATTTATTAAATGAACTGGTGAGCTCCAAAGACGCCTCTGAAGATGAAGTCTGTATCTGTAATAAGCCTTTGTTTATCTTAGTACTTCTAAGCCATCTTTTTGAAAGACAAACTGTCTTCTACATAAGAGTTATTACACTGTTGTATCAGCAGGTAAAATTAAATTCTGCTGCAATGCCAAATAGTTACATAATCGACAATGACTCCAGAGAAAAGACTTAAAGAGCACTGAGCAAAATCCAATGTGTAACAACTTGAACTAGACAAAAAAAGAGGGCCATTAATCTTGACAAATTTTAAACTCATCTACAAAGTAGCAAAAACCAATTCACTTTGTGAATATACTAAAAATATACTAAATTGGCTGGGCACGGTGGCTCACTCCTAATTCTAGAACCCTGGGAAGCCGAAGCGGGTGGATCGGCTGAGCTCAGTTCAAGACCAATCTTAGCAAAAGTGAGACCACTGTCTCTACTAAAAATAGACAGCTGTGGATGGATGTGGTGGTACATGCCTGTAATCCCAGCTGCTCGGGCGGCCAAGGCAAGAGGACTGCTCAAGCCCAAGAGTTTAGGGTTACTATGAGCTATGACACCACAGCACTTTACCAAGTACAACAAAGTAAGACTCTATCTCAAAAAAAAAAAAAAACCCACTAAATTGTATATTTTAAAATGGTGAATTTCACAGGTAAATTACATCTTAATAAAAAGTTCAACATTTATGTATTTAAAAACACTATAATAAAAGTGTCCCATGTATGAAATAATAAATGTATTACTAATGACAAGGTTTTTTAAGAAATTAATGTTAACAAGCAATTAGACAATCTCTAGATTTACATACTATCAGACACCTCAAATTAATTAGAACAAAGGAAAAACACCTTTTAGTCTACTTCGATTCTCAGAAAAGAATCCCTTCCCATCTCATTGACTGTGGGGCGTGAACGAGTGACTTCTCATGTCTCCAGTTCTTCCTCTATAAAGAAAAGTGGAACCAGATGCCCAATGGAGTACTATACAGTTGGCATTATCAACTCAACACTTTTTTTTGGAGACAGAGTCTTGCTTTGTCACCTGGGTTATAGTACAGAGCTATCAACACAGCTCACTGCAACCTCAAACTCCAGGGCTCAAGCACTCCTCTTGCCTCAGCCTCCCAAGTACCTGGGACTATTGGTACACACTACTACACCTGGCAATTTTTCTATTTTATGTAGAGATGGGGCCTTGGTCTTGCTCAGGCTAGTCTCCAATTCCTGGCCTCAAGTGATCCTCTACCTCGGCCTCACAGAGGGCTAGGATTACAGACATGAGCCACCATTCCAAGCTCCAACATTTGTTTTTTAATAGAGATAGGATCTTGTTCTTGCTCAGGCTGGTCTCAAACTCATGAGCTCAAGTGATCTAATGGCTTCAGCCTCCCAGACTGCTAGGATTATAGGCAAGAGCCACCACATCCAGCTCAGCCCCAACATTTTTAATGAATATATAAATCTACCTAATGTGAGGTACTGTTTAAAAGCAGGTGCTTCTTTATTAGTTGTTTGTTTTAAACTCATTAAATAACAAATTATTAGTCAAGAGCAGTGGCTAACACCTATAATCTGAGAGGCTGAGGCAGGTGGATTGCTTGAGTTTAGGAGTTTGAGACCAGCCTGAGAAAGAGTGAGACTCCATCTCTACTAAAAATTAAAAATTAGCTGGGCATTGTGGGAGGTGCCTGTAGTCTGAGAGGAAGCTGAGACATGAGGATTGCTTGACCCCAAAAGTCTGGGGTTACTGTGAGCTATGAGGATGCCATGGCACCCAACCACAGGGCAAAATAAATAAATAAACAAACAATTCTGTCTCAAAATAAATAAATAAACAAACAATTTATCTGTAGCTCAGAATTTGTAAAGTATTTAAACTCTCACATATGGCTCCTATGCTCTAAAAACAATAGCTCCTCAGTAGGACTGAATTACAAATTTGGCACCAAAGAATACATGTCACCATTAACTCAACATATATTAAGTACACATCTGAACTTCCACATCAAACGCTAACTTTGAAAATTTTCCTCTTTGCTTAAAAAAGGTAATGCATTCAACTCTGTAAGAGCTGATAACAAGCAAAATAAATCTCTCAGAGGTAAAGTTTGCACTCTATGACCAAGGGTCAGGGGAATCTGAGCCAAGGGGAAGGGATAACTGTCACCTTCAGGAAGACACTGAGGAAAATCCTAAGAAGTCCCTAGAGAGTTTATAATGTATTGGCTGGGTATGTGTAATGGGTGGATAGATGTACAGTCAAACAGAGAGATACGTGTGAGAGGAAAAAAGCAGGTAAGATGAAAAAATGGAGAAATAAAGAGATGAAATAAATTAGAGAAATATGCAACAATATGAAGAAATATGTATTTTATATATGTATAACTAGAATTAGATACATAAATTGGAAAGATACAAAGATGAAAGATAAATAAAACAGATATATAGGTAAACAGAATAAATATGGAGAGAAAAAACTGAGAGATAATAGATTAGAAAGATAGGCTCGGCGCCTATAGCTCAACCGGCTAAGGCGCCAGCCACATACATCTAAGGTGGCGGGTTCGAATCCCCAGCCTGGACCCGCCAAACAACAATGACAGCTGCAACCAAAAAATAGCTGGGTGTTGTGGCGGGCACCTGTAGTCCCAGCTACTTGGGAGGCTGAGGCAGAAGACTCGCTTGAGCCCAGGAGTTGGAGGTTGCTGTGAGCTGTAATGCCACGGCACTCTACGGGACAGCTTGAGGCTCTGTCTCAAAAAAAAAAAAAAAAAAGAAAGAAAAGAAAGATATAGATATAGCAGGTTACTTTGAGATTACACAAAGATTATAACAGCAGAGAGTATAGTTATATTAGACATGGGAGTAGATTAGATGGATGTAGTTTGTTACATAAATTTATTGTTGATTACATGATTTGACAATTTCAATTACCCTAAAAAAAAGACATTCTTATCTTCATTGTACAGTTAAGATATCAAACTCAAAGGAAAAGAAAGTGAGCCTACATTTGCTGTGGGTGCTTTACATGTATTATTATACTTAATTCTCATAACTACCCACAAAGTATTTTACAAAGAGAAGGTCTCAGAAAGGTACAATAATTTGCCTAAGATCATACCAGTGGTGGCATCAGAATTCTCACTCAAATTCTGTGCCCTTCCCCCTGTATTTCAGGATCATCACACTAGGCAGTCACATAAAGAATTCCAAACCGCATGTTAAACTATGAAGAGCTGGTACCTACCTGTTAATGAAGCTGAGTGGTCTGAACCAGCAACAACACATACTGCTTTACAATTCTCTAGACCTACAAAAAAAAAGTTTTCCTTTTTTATTTTATTTTTTAATTTCAGATTAATATGAGGATATAGACAATTAAGTTACAATATTTGCATTTGTTAGGTAAAGTCCCTGTTGTACTTGTGTCTGGCAGCCAGAAGGCGTGCCATGTCCCCTTACATTGTGCCAATTAGGTGGGAACACACCAATCCCCCAACCCCGCCCCTCCCTTAACTTGAATTGAATTGAGTTTTTCTCTTGTGAGGGCACGTATTAGATTGTCTAGTATCTTTTTATTAGTATTGTGTACACTGGATACTTGCTGTTCAATTCTTATGATACTTTACTAAGAAGAAATGTGTTTCGACTCCATCCAGGTTAATCTTTTACAAAAGATGTAAAGTCTCCATCTTTTTTTAAGGCTGAATAGTATTCCATGGTGTATATATACACCACAGAAAATGTTTTCCTTTTGAATTGTAACAGCACATGCTGGGCAAAGGGGGAATGCTCATCACGCACCACCTGCTCATGGGAGAAACTCTCAGCCAGTGCAGGCAGGTGTGAGTCAGCAGCACCGGCCAGGAGCATGGCTGGCAACGAAGGGAGGCTGGTAATCTACCAGGGGATTGAACAAATAAGTAAACATTTTGAGGATAAAAGAGCCAGATGCCTCACTGTTAGAGAAGAGTGGGAAGTTACAGATATGAAAAGGGGGAAGGCTAGAATCAGCCATGTAACACTGGCTAGTAAGTGAAGAGATCAGTATAAATTCACGGTTTCTAGTAGAGATAGATATATATAGTTGTATATAAAATTGTGTGTGCGTGTGTGTTTCCTAGCTCTGTGTGATGAAGGGGTGTAGAAGCAATGGCATCTCAGGCATTCCAGTGCTATCACATGTAGGCACTTAAAAACAAACACAGGCCTCCTAATAACACACAGGCAAAACCAGATTTTGAATTGGCCTACTATGTCCAAATCCAGGACTTTTCTTGCCTTAATTATATTGCTAAAAGAAATGTGGTACATATACACCACTGATTACTATTCAGCCATAAAAAAGAATAAAATCCTGTCATTTGCAGCAACATGGATGGAATTAGAGGACATTATGTTAAGCAAAATAAGCCAGGAACTGAAAGCTAACCACTGCACGTTCTCACTCCCATGTGGAAGCTATAAAAAGTTGATTACATAGAAGTAAAAGGCAGAACATAAGATACTAGAGGCTGGAAAGGATGGGGAAAGGGAAGGATAGGTGAGATTTGTCAAAGGATACAAAATTACAGCTAGATAGGAAGAATAAGTTCTAGTGTTCTATACCCCTTCAGGATAACTATAGTTAGTGATAATACAGTATATGGTTTCAAATACCTAGAAGGAGGGTACTGAATGTTCCAACACAAAGAAATGATAAATACTTGACATGATGGATATAGTTATTATCCTGACCCGATCACCATACATTATAAGCACTGAAGCATCGCTATGTATCCCATGAATATGTTTAATTATATGTAAATTAAAAAAATAATTTTTTAGAAGTTGGGGTAAGCTGAAATAACACACAGCCTCACATGTAGATAAATGCGGACTTACTGTATACCTCTTTTTTTACTCTTTTTTCTAACATTACTGTATAACTGTCTTAATAAAATGGCTTTTACACCTCAAGTATCTTTAGAATGATAATAGGATAAACCAGATGTTTCTAGCCATATTGACCAGAGAGGAAGGCCTGGGCCCCTAATGGCCAGGGGAGGAGGAGACAACCAGGGTTCCAGCTCCAGAACTTTGGCAATGAGGTGAAGATGGAAGGATGGAAAGTGAAAGACTCAGGGCAGGAAACTGACAAGCCATTCTAATGTCTCATCAGAACACTCCTCCACACCAGCTCTGAATCGAAGCAATACTCCAAACAGACCCTAAATAGGTTGTTTGAATAAGAGAAAATAAAAAACTTTTTTTTCTTCCTTCTAGGTATAGGTCCTAGCTAAAATAGAGAATAGAGTGACACACAGTTTCTGCCCCCAAACTCATAATCTTTAGCACATGAGAAAACACACAAATAGCTCATTATACTACACAATGTGCTGTCCATGCTTGTGAAGCAAATGCAGTGGCTGCTAAAGAGAAGAGTCTTTGCTGAGAAAGCTCTACCTGCCAGGCCTTGAAAACTTCTTAGAGTTTTCCCAGAGGAAACAGAAAGGAAACAGCATTTCAGGCAGAGGTAACAGTTTGCATGTAAGTACAGCGAAATGAGAAAGCAGGATATGTCTGAGTAATGAATGCCTTGATGAAGAGGACAGAAATGTCTGGGAAGTATGAGTTTATATTCCAAATGTTGGCAATGTCATGCGGACCCCTGGGAAGCGTCCTATGCCACCTTCTTCTCCTTTTCTCCCCAGGTCAGCCTACAGGCTTCAGGAAAGCGAATCCCTCCCCAGGTAAAGGAGAGAGCCTCTAGGGATTAGAAAAATCAGAATGAGCCCAAACCCATGTACATCAGTCCCACTGCAACCCTCCCTTCCCTTTTCCTCACCCCTTGCGACCACCCTCAAAAATCCCTGCCTTATTCCGAACTAAAAAAGAGTAGAGGTCTCCTGGCCAGGTTTTTCCTATAGCCAAGCCTCAGTAAACCGGGCCTCACAGTAAGAGGAAGAAAAGAAGAGGAGATGGCGACATAGTGCTATGTACAGAGAGAGAAAGGGCCACCAAGAGCAGATGGAGAGAGAGAGATGGAAAAAGGAAAGGAGATGGGAGGGGAGGGGAGGAGGAGGGAGGGGAGAGGAGGGGAGGGGAAGAAGAATGAAGATGGGAGAATGGAAGGGAATGAGGAGGAGGAGGAAGAAAAAGCCTTACAGATCAACCAACCAACAGATCTACAGGCAGAACATGTATTACCTACTCATATTTTCACATGGGAAGATTTCTCTCTGGCGACACTTTCAGCCCCTTTCTCTACATCCTCACTCACTCCTGCTTTCCTTTTAGAAGGAACTGGGCATGCAAGGCCCAGTCCTGCTGGGTTCCCTTTTGGGGGTAGACCTGTCTACAGAGAGAGTATACCCTCATGTCCTCTTGGCCATGCACTAAGCTTAGCAGGGCCAACTCTATGCAGTCGCTCAGTGCCTGGTGAGTAAATTCAATTTGAAATTCAGAATTTAGAGGTTCACTATTGCTACATATTGTTTCCAAACACCTAAACTATGTCTCTGACCTAGCTTTTAACACTTCTAGAGCTACTATTTTGATCTCCACCTACCCGACTTGCATCTACATCTCAATGGGTTCCAAACTCTGGCAGCAAAGAGGACTGCTTTTACTGGGCCCACAAAAAACCCAGCAAGCCAGATGCAGTGGCTCATACCTGTATTCCCAGCTATTTGGGAGACTGAGGCAGGAGGACTACTTGACGCTGAGAATTAAAGACAAGTCTGGGCAGCAGAGTGAGGCCTTATCTCTTTAAAAAAGAAAAAAAGCAAACCAGCAAGACTAAGAGAGTTAGACAGAGAGACAGAGAAGTAGCAAAAGTAAAAATCCATGTACTCATTTTCTGCATGTCTATGTCTCTACTTCCTGACAAAGAATAAATAGGGGAATAAGAAGAAATAACGGTCTCACCTGTCACTCTGCTTGGTTCCTTTGCTGTCAAAAACAATGGGAGGGCATTCCCAGGGCACAACCGCCGTCCAGATGATGCCAAACCAGTCCCCCACTGGAACACAATGCCGCTCACTTCTCAAGAGAGAAGAGAAAATAGAAAATGCACTTGAGGATAAAACCAGATTACCCTTTGAACACCAATGCTATGAGAAATTCCTAATTTATCCCTAGTGAACAAAAATGTTGTGGAAAAGCTTAATTGCTTCAAGGGGTCCTCTGACTGGTCCTAGGGATTACCACCAAACCATTCACAAATCCAGGCTTCAGGGCAATCTCAGACCACTACAGAAAATTCCAACACAGTAAAACTTCCTCCAAAAAGTTCCAGTTATTTGACTCTGGTGTAGTCAAATCACTGGAATGACACCTCCTTCATGATTAACCGGACAGGACAACTTAGACTCCAGAGATGAAGCAGAAAATAACCTTAAAGACCATCAAGTCCATTCCTCACACTTACTAGATGAGAAAACTGAGGCCCTGAGGAAAGGCAGTGATTCGTCCAAGGTCACATAGGGAGGCAGTAGCACAGACAATGCTAGGACTCAGCTCTCAGCTCTCCTAACACATATTTGTAACAGCATGATAGCTTTTTTTTAAAATGGAGACCGAACCTCACCTTATCACCCTGGGTTGAGTGCTGTAGCGTCATATCTCACTGCAACGTCAAACTCTTGGGCTCAAGCAATCCTATTACCTCTGCCTCCCCAGTAGCTAAAACTATAGGCGCTCACCACACGCCCAGCTATTTTTTTAGAGATGGTCTTGCTCAAGTTGGTCTCAAACTCCTAAGCTCGAGCAATCCACCCTCCTCAGTACCCCAGACTGCTAGGATTACAGGCATGAGCCTCCACGCCCAGCCCAAGATAGCTTCTTAATAGCCATAATTTCAGAATCTAATTTATGTTCCAACCTAATACAAGTGCATAGATGAAATTCAATGTATCTGTTCCGCAGTTAGATGTGTGCAACTAAGAGTCATTGTTAAAGTTCTGCTCCTCTGGAAGTATCCTATAACCTACAGTCCTTTAGGCTGCAAAAAGACAAGCCTGCATTGTAGAAAGAAAAAAAAAGCTATGATTGCTGAGCATAATGTGAACAAAACACAGTGAAATAAAACAAAACTTACAATCTCTTCAAGAAAAAAATTGCAAGGAGAAAAAAAGGAAAGAGAAAAATTATAGATTAAAAGAAACTTCAGGGGGGCAGGAGTGGTGGTTCATGCCTGTAATCCTAGCACTCTGGGAGGCTAAGGTGGGTGGATTACTTGAGCTCAGGAGTTTGAGACCAGCCTGAGCAAGAGCAAGACCCTGTCTCTAAAAAACAAAGAGCCAGGTGTTGTGGTGGGTACCTGTAGTCCCAGCTACTTGGGGGACTAAGGCCAGAGGATTGCTTGAGCCCAAGAGTTTGAGGATGCTGTGAGCTATGATAGCACATCACTCTATAGAGAGCAACAAGTTGAGACTCTGTCTCAATTAATTAGTTAATTAATTAAATAAAATAGACCTCAGGACCAGGCACACTGGCTCACACCAGTAATCCTGGCACTCTGGGAGACTGAGGCAAGAGGATTGCTGAGCTCAGGAGTTTGAGACCAACCAATCTGAGCAAGAATGAGTCCTCATCTCTACTAAAAATAGAAAAATAAGTCAGGCCTTGTGGTGGGCACCTCGCTGGGACTATTCAGGAGGATTCCTTGAGCTGAGGAGTCTGAGATTGCTGTGAGCTAGGCTGACACCACAGTACTCTAGCCTGGGCAACAGAGTGAGACTGTGCCTCAAAACAAAAATTAAAAATAAAATAAAATAATAAAAGAGACTTCAGATATCTGATAAAGGATTAATATACAGAATATTTAGAGAAGTCCTAAAACTCAACAATCAAAACAAAAAAACATACTTAAAAAACAGGCAAAGTACTTGAATAGACATATCTCTAAGAAGATATACAAATGATCAATAAATACATAAAAAGAGTCTCAACACCAGTAATCATTAGGGAAATAAAAGTCAAAACCATAATGAGATGCCACCTCACACTCATTTGGATGCTACTATTAAAAAAAAAAACAGAATATAACAAGTATTGGTGAATTTGTGAAGAAACTGGAACCCTTGTGCACTACTGCTAAGAATGTAAAATGGTGCAGCAGCTGTGGAAAATGGTATGGTAGTTCTCAAAATATTAAAAATAGAATTACCATATGATCCAACAATGATCTGGGTATATATCCAAAAGAACTGAAAGCAAGACCTCAAAAAAATATTTGTACACTCTACCCATGTTCATACTAGCATTTTTCTTTTTTTCTTTTTTTTTT